TACGAGCTTAACTTTTCCTACTCTTTCTCTTTTTCCCAAACTCCCTACAGACTTTACTCTCTTTCTTCTTCTTCTCAGACCTGTGACATTGTATTGGTTCTCTGTGAAAAATATATCTTTTGTAACATGACTGCAAAATCTTATACCTTAACCACACCAATGTATGCAAAGGGCCAGGCACATGGTAGATGCTCTGAAAATATCATTTTTGCTATTTAAACTTTATCTCTGCAGGAACCATCAGGGATGCATTAGAGGGAGCAAAATCATTTCTTCGTTTGCAATATGGGGTTAAGTTTCTGTGTTAATACTGGAAAGTGGAATGCTTGTGACTTGTTATATCCAGAGATTAAAAATAGCTGTTTTCCTTCACATCTGATGAAGAAAGCATGTGTTTTGATTTGGGCTTTAAATGCTGCAGTGAAGTTTCTGTTGCAGGACGTCAGTGCTCAGTTGTTGAAGTTTAGTTATCAGGCTTGGGTGTGATGTTCAGAACAGGAAGCAGGAAGTAGGGCAGGCTGCTGGGAGTGGAGGTGAGAGCAAGACAGGGACCTCACTTTCTATTCAATTACTCTCTAATAGAGGTTTTACTGTTTTAAAAAAAGTATGCAAAAAAACTAGCAATAAATTGTGATGCAAATATTTGTAATGCTTGCTTGTTTTGCTCTTAAAAATACTTCATAGGCGTGCTTCTTAATAGCTTTCCTGCTGCTGGTCAGATTGAACTTGGACAACCTTATTTGTAGATTCAAGCAGCTCATTCTTCTGCCCATTCATCTATGTCCCCTCCTCCTCTGCTCTTTACAACCGCTGTCGCTGCTGTTATGACACAGGGACTGAGCGGGGGCGGCTGTGGGGGGCAAGCAGTGCTCTCCCTGATGCTCAGCTTCTGATTAATGGGGGCCACAGGCCTCCCAGCCCTAGAGACTTCCATGAGCAGAACCCTTTTCATCAAGAAAGATAAGGCTGAGTTTAGCAAAAAGAATGGAGACCAGAGTGGGGTCAAAAAGACAAATTTTAAAGATAAATCAAGAAACCACTGCTACACTTATTCAAATCTGTTTTTGGATGGCTCTTGGCTCCCACACATGGAATACTTTGGTAGGCCCTGCCTTTTGGGGTGATGTTTTTCCCCCCTGTCGATTTCCAGATTGGATCGAAGTTGGCGAATCACATTACTCCAGACAACAAGCGTGTTCCACTATGATGGATGTTGTGGGACCAGAAAAACTTCCAATCTGGGAGTCCCCAGGGAGAGGGCAGGGGGACAGGAAACCAAAGCAGCATCGTCTCTTGCCCAGAAAACACAACAGCAGATGCTATGCCGTTGGAGCCGTCCTGATTCTTCCAAATGAGGATAAATGCTCTGTGCTTCGCAGCAGGAGGCAGGGGAGAAAACATCACTCCTCGGCTGTCAGGGGAGCACTGTGAGGGCGATCCGTGTGTCTATATAAGGGGCTCGGGTGGGTTGATGACACAGAAATGAGCTGGAATTTTGCAAGAAGAGCAAGGTGAGCCCGCCAAGGTGCTCTGAGACTGTGCAGTTGGGGCGGCAGCTCTGTTGCACTGTGGCCTCTGGGGGCTTGGGAGGTCAGTGGGAGGGGGTCTGCAGAGAGTCTGAGTTAAGATGGCTTTTAGCAGGGAGTGGCTGTCCGTATCCTCACATCAAATCAAGTCCGTGTAGCATCCTTTGCTCCTTTCTGTCTTTCTTAGGCTGCAAGACAGAGTAGAGGAAAGTGCCTGTGAGCTGCCCAGAGGCTCTTTGGCATCCATTTTTCAAGGCAATCCTGACACAGAGCAGACAGCATTGAAATACCTTTGACTCACCTATAGCTGGGTGTGAGTCATGGGGTGATCACAGGGCTCCCACGTGGTCCTCAAGGACCCGGCTCCCAAGATTGGGCTCTGCCATTGGTTCTTGGTCCCGTCTTGTTCTGTCTCAACTTCCCTGAGTCAGGGTCTGTCTCACGCCGTGATGGGCTCTGCTTTCTTGGGTGCAGACGTCTCTAAGGTGACATAGGCCCACCTGACTCCAGATGGCTGCTCGCCTGGGGTTCTCCACTGATACACTCTGCATCCCTAACTAGGATCTTGCTGTAACTTTTCAGAAATCCCAGGGTCGTCCACCTGAGCCTTCCTAGGTCGGTCGTCTGATGTTTCCAAGTCCCTGTGGACCTGGTCTCCCGGCCCCTGTCTACAGCTAGTGGTTGGATCTCATCGCTTGTTCCACTCTGTCCCCGTCTCTCCTTGCCTGCTCAGGAGGGGGCCAGGCCTTGGGGGCTGGGCTACTGCTATCGGGCACACGAAATGACAGACGGTTCATCTAGTCGACTGGGCAGAACTTATCCAAGTACGGTGTATACAAGGTCCACTTTCAAGTACTTTAAATGGCTTTAGATATTAAAAAGCGACAGAAAGATCACAATGAAGTTCAGAATTAGTTGCCAAATACATTTTATAGACGACCGCTGTAAGAACTTGGAGAGGGACTGAGATGATGGGGAAGGGCTGAATATGAAGTTCAGATCTGGGGAAAGAATTCTGGAGGAGTGAGGAGGGGGCTCTTACAGGCTGAAATGAGTCCCCCACAAATTCCTGTGTTGAAGCCCTGACCCCCGGTACATCAGAGTGTGACTGTATTTGGAGATGGGTAAAGTGATTCAGGTTAAATAAGGTCATGGGGGTGAGCCCTAAACTTGGTGTCCTTGTAAGAAGAGGACATCAGGGCAGAGACAGACACGGAAAAAGGCCATGGGATGACCCAGGAAGACGACAACTGTCTACAAGCCCAGGAGAGGCCTTAGGAGATACAACCACCCAACACCTTGATCTTGGACTTCCAGCCTCCGCAGCTATGAGACAATACATTTCTGTTGCTGGAGTGGCTCAGCCTGTGACACTTTGTTATGACTGGCCCAGGAAACTTGATGGGGCCTGCGGTGACCAAAGCAGGAACACGTGGCTGGGAGAAGACCCTTTGCTTGGAGCAGAAAGGTTCCTAGACCAAGGATGTGGTGAGTCCATAGGTGGCTCCGTGAACAAGTTCTGGAAGCAGACAGGCTGATGGGGATGGGGACAAAGGGCAGAGCACCAAGGAAGAAAGAACACCCATCCCTGGGATGGCAGTTTTGCCTGGCATTTACTTCCTGGTGGATTAACTATTGCTCAATGCTAACAGGCAGCCGGGTTTACTTTATGGGATTAATCAAGGCCTCGAAGGCCCTCCAGCACTCAAAAGGGACAGTCAACAAGAAAGAAACAACAAAGGCAAGAGACAAAAGATGAAGAGGAAGAGGAGGTGCCTTTGCAGGGCTCAGGAAAGACTTTTGCACTGTCAGAGAGAAAGAGAGATGCAGCAAGTGGTAAAAGAGGAGATGCACCCATGAAAACTACTCAGACCACCAGCTCTTTCTCTAAAATGTGGCTGCACATTATTGTTTTCACCCTTCATTTGGAACCAAGAGTATAAGAACAGAAAGGCAGCAATGCAAGCAGAGGGTAAAAGTTCGTGGGGACCTGGAGAATGTCCTCAGCCTGCTGGTCCCATCTCCTGCCCTGGGCTCACCGGAGGCTGCAGGGGCCGGAGCTCACCGAGCCAGGCTGACATGGGAAGGGGGCAGAGTTGTTGAGGGCAGCCCCATCTTGTCACCCAGAGCTGTGTGTAGAAAACAGGGTGTCCATGGGAAATGGTACCCTCTGGAGCAAGGGCACTGACCCCAACATCTTTCAGTGCTTGTAAGTTTAGCAAGGAGGGGAGACAGGAGACAGGGTCAGGAAAGGAAATGTGAAAGGTGAAACGGCAAAGGACCAAGGTCAAACAGGGCCCTGGGGAAGGGGGGAGGGAAGGGAAACTGTAGCACAGTGTCAACTCAAGGCTTCCTTCTGGTGCCCGAGGCTGGCAGTGGTGTTATTGCTAAATGGCCTCGACATGACCGGGTCCCTCCATATCAGTTCTGCACCCTCCACCTTCCACGCCCTCTCCCCGTGCCCTACTGTGAAGTCTCATCTCTCAACAGGACTGGAGGGAGGAAGGGGAGGAAGACCCTCCAACAAAGCGCCAGCTCAGGGACACGTGGCTTTGGCGAAATACATTTCCCCACAGCAACACCATTTCTATTCTAGTTAGGCAATTGCAGACTTAAAGAAAAAATAGGAAGAGAAGAAAGAAACAGAGAAGGAGGAGGAGGAGGAGGAGGAGAGGAAACACGACTCTTGTTTGTCTTTTCGAAGGTGCCCGTCCCTCCAGCACCCATTACTGTACCCCTGGCTCTTCTTGGGCTCCAGACAGGCCCTCCAATGCCCTGCTGTGGGGCACCATGGTCAGGACGCCTTCCCAACGAGCCAGTGTGGCCCCAAAGTCTCTGCGGGTGTCTGGGGACCTCCCCTTCAGCAAGTTCCAAGGGTCTGGCAGAAATTGCAGGCTGGCTTTGGTCAAGTGGCGTCTATCAGTTGTTGCTACCTGCAGAGGCGGCCAGATTGTGCTGGGATTTTGCTAAAGGGCTGAGAAACCCCGTGGCTGCACCCGGGCTCCTGCTGCCCTGCCTGTTCCACAGGAGACACCCGTGCAGGGGCAGTGGACACTCCCCGCTCACCCTGATACCTGCGCAGGAAATCATAATGACACGTGGAGCAGGCTCCACCCCTGAATGGAGACTTGCTACTTTATCTAAGAGCTCATGCAGGTTGGGAACATTAATTAAGCCAAGTGGACATGTGCCAATGGCATATTAAAAAAAAAGATGCTTGTCTGTCGAATACCAGAAACCATGCTCAGCATCATCTGCATTATGCTGTCAGCTAGGGACGGCTCAGATCGTGGATGGCAAACGATGGCCCGTGGGCTACATAGGGCCCACGGCCTGTTTTCTTCTTCTTTTTTTTTTTGGTGGGGGGAGCTAAGAATGATTTCTACATTTTTAGAGGATGCCTTCCTCCCCCCGAAAAAGTAAAAAAAAAAAGAAGAAGAAGAAGAAGAAGATGTGGCAGAGATCGTTTAGCTCACAATCCCTAAAATATGTGCTATCCAGCCATATACAGAAAAGGTTTGCAAACTCCTCATGGACAGGAAATAGATTTTTATTTTTTGGTTCATCTGGGCATATCCTTCTCCTCCCCCACTTATGACAATGCCTTGGAAAAATGCATTCTTGACTTTTTAACAGATGAACTTGGAATCCATCCAGCTCGTAAGCTGGGGACTGTCTGTGCCTTTCTGTATTTTTTGTGCCAAGCGCAGTGCCGGGCTCAGGAGAGGTCACTTGCTGCTGGTGACCATCAGTGTGTATACAATGACCCCCAGGCTGACCGGGAAAAGGAGTGTTCCCAAAACTCCCCTTGGGACCTCTGTGTTCCTGAGGACACTAAGGCGATGGTCACTGCTGGCTTTGCCTTACACATCACCCTGTGGAGCAAACCCAGAGCCGCCTGCCCCGCCTGTGTCCTTGGCTCTGCTGCTGCCTAGCTAGGGAGAAAGACCAGAATCGCATGTGCTTGTCTTCTAGCCAGTGACAGAGGCATAGACGAACCCACACTCGGCCCTAGAACAGGCCTGCGCTGCCAGCCACTGGCAGATCCAGCAGCGGGGAAGGTGCAGGCAGAGCTGGAATTATGGGCTGGAGATGAATGAGTGAGATAGGAGAGTCAAGTGTTGAGAAATGCAGTGGACCCTGGGGACATTGGGGTGTCATGGAAAAAGGAGTTGGAGGCTGGATATGGGGAAACTCAAAGAAATTCTTAAAACACCGCCCCCCATCTCTTCCTTCTCTTTTTACAGCACAGAAATGACATGAAATAGGCGAAGTTATGTGACAAGTATAAAGTGCTCCACGAAAGGGTGGAAATATTCAACTCAATGTGGGATTTTCTGCCTTAGCTTCCTCTCTGCCAGATTGGAATGCACCTACTGCGTTCAGGCTTTTGAATAGGCCAATGCCTTCATTACTTTTTTCTCCCAACACAGTATGAATTTGCTCTTAGATTTCCTACTTAATTAAGTCTGTATTTTTCTTAGCTTAGCAATAATCATTCCCAGCTTATAATGTGGCTACACCGAATATGATATGGAAAAAAAAATAAAATAACAACTCCTGAACCACAGGAAAAGGAAAGACGATTATTCTGCCTTTTGAAATAAGTGAGCAACCAGCTCTGGGGCAGTTCCTTGCTTCTCAGTTGCACCTGCTTTGAGCAATGCCTATGGTAAGTCTTCCCCTCCCGGACACCTCCCCATGCCCCCAAACCCTACAGCCTTCCTTTTAGGTGGGAGAACCAGTCATCTGTGCTGTAGCAGCAAAGCAGAAATGACATTTTCCTGCGTAGAGGAGACACCCATTCTCAGCCCCAGCTCCGTGCCATTTGGGTCTGGGGAGTGTGAATGAGCTACCGCGATGGGAGTCCTGGCAACGGGCCGACGTCCTCCGCTGAAATCCTAACTTGCTTTTGTTGGCCCAGCCCCACCACGGTCATCTCCACTCACTCCTCTCGCGGGGACTCTGGAGGGCCAGGAGGCCACAGCTGCCATTGCTTTCTGAAGACGGTGGACCCCACGGCAGCCTGGCTCAGCCCTGCTCTCAGCTCAGTCTGTGGACACGGAGCAGGTACAAACAGTGTTCCAGCCGGGCTCGACCGGAGCTGTGTGCAGGTGGTTTCATGGTTACGAGTCCTAGTAGTGTAAAAAGAGATCAGAGTCACCAGCGAGCACACCTCTGATGTCTCCAGGTTTGCTGCCTCTACCTTCTTTTTAGTCACCCTGGTTTTTCTTGGGGTGTTAACCTTCCATCCGCCTTTACTGATGAGCAGAGCTCTTTCCTTAATTAGTTAGTCCACAAATATTCATATGCAGAGGCAGCATCTTTTTTGGCAAGAGAACTTGAACAGAACCAGCCCCAGCAGCAATTGAGAATGCTTATCAAGCTGTGATTAAGTAGCTGTAATTAAAGAGTGAACAATTACCTGCCCAAGCAAATAGTCCCTAAAAGGTTCTCACTCCCAGGCCATAACCATGAAACCTACCTGGCCAGAGGGTCTGCATGCTGGTTCACTCTGAGGGGGTGGGGAAGCTGAGATACTGGGACATACAGCTTTCACTTGAGAAAGGACATCAGGAACAGGTGCCACAGCTTCCAACTGAAATCTCATTTTCAAAGACTGCCTAGGTCTCTAGCTACCTGAAGATCAGCATTCTGAACACTTTCTCCACAGTGACATCTATAAAATCCATGTGCTTGACACACTCTGCAATTCCTGCTAAAATACCTATAATCCATTCCCCTCTCTCCAACTAAAAAAAAAAAAAAAATAGTTGGAATACACGTGAGCAAAATTGAGTGATGCTGTATTTGTTCTCATTCATTTTAAGAAGGGATGTACTTCCTAAAAGTATCCATATTAATTGCAGTCGGTAATCAATGACTTCAATACAACACCCAATGTATTTCCTATCCGCAATTGCTTTTTGCTGTTCTTGGCCAACGCGGCCTCTTGTGCGTTCCCTCATGTGCCCATCTTCTCCCACCTTGGCATAATTTGTCCTTCTTGCAAGGCCTTAATAACATTGCAGGCCATTATCCCCTAAAAAAGTGGTGCAATGTGATAATTAGAATTGTAGACACCACACCCTTCCACGGACGACCTGCTCTTGAGTTTGGCTGGATTGGAGACATGACAGCATATTTGCCAAGTTTAATCTGGAGGCAAATCCCAAGGAAATGAAACATTAAACAAGTTTGGTTATGGTTTGGTACCCTCAGCATAACTAGTCCAAACCAGAGGACTTTTACCCCCACTCTCTATGAAACAGGGGAACTATGGCAAGGCACAGGCTTGGAGTTAGGGAGACCCAGGTTTGAATCATGGTTCCTCCTTGACCTTGGGCAAGTCCTTAACCTCTCTCAACCATCAGATTTTTATCTCTAAAATAGGAGGAGAAGAGTTGCTACAAGGTCTAGAGACAAGCAGTGCAAAATGCCCTGCAGATGCCTGGCACACAGTAGGACCTAACAGAAAAGCCGTAACAGACACACTAAGTGATTATAAGCAGAAGCAGTCTTGGGTGACACATGAGGGAGGGGAACGGAAGAAAACTCTGATGAGAAAAATGCTTTTCTGAAATCCTTGCAGCAGTCTGGGGAAACCTTCAAATAATGAGATTCAAGGTCTCTCTCAATGCACGCAATCTGAATTGCAGAATAAACTCAAATTTTGCCTATCCCACAGTGTCGTCTTGATTTTTATGATGTTTAGACAATCCAAAAGCAAATGCTTTTTATAACACATTAGAGAAGGCATTTTAACCACTGTTACTCTGGGTAAATTCCTCAAACTCCAAATAGAAGCAGTAAACATGTGAGTATAAATATGACAATCATTTGTTTAACTGCAACAATTTTAGATAGTTTTTGGCATGCTCAAAGGTACAGAGATTTTTGTGGCTAAGTAAAAAGTAACTCAGCTCTCATATTGTTTATCCCACTTTGACTAAGTTTTGGGTGACGAATATCAATTTCTTGCAAAACTGTCATGTTTATACCCAATATCATGCTATGGGAAAGGAAAATAATGTTAAAAGTTTGCCTCCCTGGAGAGAGGGGGCTGAGAAGAGTGCAGTGGCCAATTATTTATGGATAGTTTTACACAGATAGACAATTGTCACGGTTTTTATCTGATGAGCAAAAGATTTTTTAGTTGTTTATTTTGATTAGATGTGGCATTAATGCCAGACTTCCAGTGCTCCCAAACTTTTCCAGCTCTAAAATTTAAATTTGTCTGTAAAGGTGTTTAAAGATCATTTTGAACATGGGATCATATTTTGCTGGAGAAAAACTATTATCATTCTTTCTACAGGACTGTGGGGCAAAGAGTGATTTTCTTATTCAGATCCTAGAAGAAGCTCTTCTCACACTTAATTTTCCTAGCAAGGCATAAGAGAAGTGAGCTTTGCATATTCAAGTTCTTCCTAGATGCCTGTCTTTATGGTAGGACACCCACATCTGGTGTTACAGGACATGCAAAGAGACCAGAAGAGTCTAAAACTCCAGCCAACATCTCCGTGCCAGAATCCAAGTTCTGAACACAAGGCTGCGTATCTGTCTAGCCAGTAAGAAGAAATTCTTCACAAAGAGTCTGAGAAAGCAGTCATATTCTAGGTCCACACACAACCAATAACAACCCAATTCCACATGCAAACATACCCTCCATTGCATTGTGAAAAGAGACTTGCCTTTCAGAAGGATTTAAGGAAATTATCATTTTGCTGAAAGGGAAGAAGAGAAAGATGTTCAGGCCACGACCCTTGCTGTGAAGGTTACATAGCAGCTACAACCTGCTTGGAAATTCTTAGAGGAAATTATAGGGGAAAGAGGCCGTGGAAATGGTCAGTAGTTTTAGACCAGTGATTCTTGTTGAGAATTATTCCAAAAACATGAAACCTATTTTAAATTCTTACTGTGGGATGACAGGCATATTTTAAATTTTACATAGAATTACCATCTTCATCATTAGTAACATACAGGTTGAGCATCCCTAATCCGAAAATCTGAAATCTGAAACGCTCCACAATCTGAAACTGTTTGAGCACCCATGTGATGCCACAAGTGGAAAATTCCACACCTGACCTCATGTGACAGGTTGCAGTCAAAACTTTGTTTCATGCATAACACTATTAAAAATATTATATAAAATTACCTTCAGGCTATGTGTATAAGCTGTATATGAAACATAAATAAATTCCATGTTTAGACTGGGGTCCGATCCCCAAGATAGCTCATTAGATATATGCAAATATTCCAAAATCCAAAACACTTCTGGTCCCAAGCATTTCAGATAAGAGATACTCAACTTGTACTGAGTTATTAAGGTTTACCAAAATTTGGTATACATAAAGCAAAAATAGCACGTTCCCCAAGTTTCTGTGGAAAGTGGGAATAGACAAAGTTGAGTGGACCGCTGGATCTTTTTCCAGAATAAATGGGTTTCTGTCAAAGAATGTTTGCAAACTCCTGCTTTAGACGGTTCTTTGGTGATCTGTCAGTATCTATCCGAAGCTAAGCATTAGTATTTTTCAAAGTTCAGGGGGGATATACTTGGATCATAAGGCTCATTTCAACATGCCACAGGTGAAGCTCATTCATTAGGCAACAGTGAAGCAGGTGAGAAGAAATGGAAGTCAACATTTGCCTTTCAAAATACTATAAGCACTGGATTTTCATAACAGAGTTCTGGAAAAGGTAAGTGATTTGCCAAGAAAAGCCTTTCCTGGCCTTGTCAACAAGGCTCTCGGGTAGGTTGGCGACCTCTATCTTAGCATAAAGTTAACAATCACCCCACCCCAACCTCTTGATTTTTAAATATGGTACGGAAGAAGCCTTCCTTCATTTGATCTTGGAACTGTTTAATGGATTTTTGTCCCTACTAGTTAAATTGAAAGAGAAAATGACCCTCATGGCTGCTGTCTTCTCTTGGGAAAAGCCATGCTCTCCTCAACTGGTTCTTTGAATACTCTCCAGACCCAAGGGTAGAGAATGCTCCTCCACTACACTGAGACGTAATGAGAGCCTCTCGCTCTCATCTTTAGAAGATAAGGAGCAGTATCCAATCCAAGCGCAGCAAAAGGTAAATCTCACTGTCCCCTTTCACCCAAGCTGAGAAATTGGATGCATCAGAAGTGGTGGAGTTTTAAAAACTTGCTCTAAAAATAAACGTGCCTGGATCTTGGCCACCATCTTAAAGCTCTTCCTCTCTGGGCCCTCTCCCCATAAATGTCAAATGTGGCTGTCGGTACATTTAGCCTGAAAATAAAATCCCCTCACTTCCACCAAGAAATAACTCCAAACTTAGAGTGCGAGCTCAAAATATTCATGATGAAATCATAATCCTATATTTATAGTCTTTTGGATTGTGCCTGACATTCTGTTTCCCATGGTGGTTTTCATCGAAGCGGGCTGAGAGGATGACCGAGAGGGCATTAGCTGCGGGGGATACTGTCCAGGATCGTTCAGAACTGGGCGGTTGTGAAGCATCCTCCCTCGTCCCTGCACCCTCCCTGCTGACAGATGCGTCGGGTCTCCTCCCCTGCCCCATCCCCAGAAGGTCCCCATGTTTGATGGTCCCGTCTCGTCCTCCAGGAAGAGTGAGCTGGCCTTCCGAGAAGGAAGTGGGGTGGGTCCCTAGGATCCACTCCTTCCTTTGCACCTTCCCTGTCCTAGACCTCCTCCCCGTTTTCACTGAGAGAGATGGTGTGGACCTTAATGGTTGGAACTTGATGGTTCTCTCCAAGGCTGGGGGTTGAGGGCCCCACACAGCAGCAGACCTGCAAAAAGCTTTTACTCCTCACCCGGGCGGTGGTGCAGGCTGATTGGTCTTTGGGTACCGTAATCCTGGCAGATCCCCGGGGTATGGAAGAGAAAAATTTCCATTCACAGACCCCGTCGGTCTTGGAGATCTTATAGAAGGTCTCTCCCGAGCCCACAGGGATGCGCACCATGTCCTTGTGCTGCCTCTCCACGGCGTGGCTGGGCGCGTGCAGGGTGTAGCCCGGCGTGTATTTCGAAGACTGCTTTCTGCGGAGACACTGGATTCTCAGCACGTTCTGAAAGGCCTTTTTGAACTCTTGACTGGAGCACGGGTATATGATGGGATTGATGCAGCTGTTTAGGTATCCGAGCCAAAATACTATTTTAAAAACCGTTTCCGAGGGCTTGAAATCGGGGAAGAAAGACCCTGCAAGAAAAGACACAGATTCAGACATATTATTTGTAAGCCAACAGGCCAATCGTCTAGGAAAACAACCAAGCAAACATCTTTTTATATCTTTAAAAAGTTGCAAGTGAGTCCAAATGCATCTGAGTTGTACACAATTGATGGACTAGCTCCTGTGTAGGTAATCGCTTCATAATGTCCTCAAAGACCATTCTTACTTGGTGTATGTGACTGCCATCGATTATGCGCTGCATCAGCTCTCGGGGCTAGAGAATATCACTTGATGGCTGCCGTGAAGTGTTCAAAATGAAAACACGGAATTTAGACTGAGTCAACCTATGCAAATTGTTTTGCCTGAATTTAAAAATAAATTGGAGTCCATTTAAATAATCCACACTCATATTCAGTTACCCGAATATACCCTTTATTCCCTGATGCAGTGTTATATAGACACGGCCTAAACGCTCATGATTTCCTCTGCTCCTGAATACTGGTGTTGGGTATTTTGATGAGAATCCCAAGTTTACAAAATACTGGCTTTGCCAACTTTTGGCCAGTGGTTCCCAACCATTTCTCCTAGGTGACGCCTTTTGATGTCACAGTATACTTCCCCTCTCAATGTCCCCCGTGGCTCCCAAATGTTTGCCAGTCGCTTGACATTCAGGTTCCTCCTGGCCTCACTAGTTTTCTGATATTCTTGGTTATTATTCTTTTACTCGAGCCAGACCAAGCGCAAATTTTCTCCAAGTCCCTGGTCATTTTTTTGTCCTCTCAAGTTGGGCCACTGTGTCTTCCATGCCTTCGCCTGTCCTTTTTACCTCCGCAAACCCTACCCCTTGATCTCACACAGTGGGACTCGGTCCCCTGTGCAGTCACTGCCACAGAGCTCTGGCCAGCAGAATGAAACCGCGGAGCCTTGAACTGGGCACAATCTTAGGGATGATCTTATCCAATTACTCAATTTCCAAATTAAAAAAAAATGCTTATTAAAGAGGTTGTCACCCACTTGATGGCGATAGTCCTGACAGAGTGATGGATGAAGGGGTGTAGAACCCCCAGTCCATCCACGTTCTTTATTCCCTGATCCTCAGACTTCCGGCAGTTTGCAGTAAAGTTCGTAGGAATTATAAAACCCAAATGTCTCTCGTCACACCTTTCAGAGAGATACCAAGATAACATCTGGACTTTCCTTTCCCCTCTTTTCTTTTCCTTCTTCACTCCCAAACTCCTAATCCTTCTTTTTGTGTGTGTGTGTTTTCACTGATTTTTTTTTTTTTAAATTTCAGAATATTATGGGGGTACAAACGTTTAGGTCACATATATTGCCTTTGCCCCACCGAGTCAGAGCTACAGTGTGCCCATCCTCCAGACAGTGTGCTCTGCACCCACTAGGTGTGAAGGTACCATCCTCTCCTCCCCGCTCCCACCTAATCCTTCTGCCACTGGTTTGTAGTCACAGCTCTGCGTATACTTAGTGGAGCAGCTTGGGGTAAGTCCTATTATCCTGTTGGGCCTCAGTTTTCTTATCTGAAAAAGGAGCAGGTTGAATGGGTAATTTCTTTCATTCTAGTTATTTTATTTTTTGAGACAGACACTCTGTTGCCCAGGCTAGAGTGCAGTGGCGGCATCACAGCTCACAGCAATCTCAAACTCCTGGGCTCAAGAGATCCTCCTGCCTCAGCCTCCCAAGTAGCTGGGACTACAGGTGTATGCCATCATGACTAGCTAATTTTTTTTTTTTTTTTTTTTATAGAGACAGGGTCTCGCTCTTGCTCAGGCTGGTCTTGAACTCCTGGCCTCAAGTGATCCTTCTGGCTTGGCCTCTCAAAAGTGCTGGGATTACAGGTGTGAACCACCAAGCCCAACCTTGCATGGGTAATTTCTAATGTCCCTGCATGACTTTTCTCTTTGGTTTCAGTCTATGATCTTGATTTTATGTCTTTCCTTCCTCTTTGCTCTATGGACCTATCAGAATCATGACAAACTGCTGGTGCTCTTAAAATCCACTGGCAAGCAGTGCTCTGAAATTTAGTAGACGATTTCATAAACATGAACAAAGAGTAAACTCAAAAACCAAAAAACCCAAAGAAGACAAAATGGTGTGGTGGTCAATGGGAGTGTCCATTAGCTCTGAAGCACACGCCCTGTTAAGTTCCATGTGTCTCAAAGAAAACACACACACACACAGATGATGGAAAAACATGTTAAGTGAGAAAGTTTTAATTCTTTAGCTTTAAAGCTTTTAACATTTTCCTATAATTATAATAAACTTTACAGTCTTTGCACGTCTGGCGTGAGCCAACCACTGTGCTAGACACTTTACATGCAATTTGATCATTATTAGTAACATGAAGAGTTATACGATTCTTGTCAATATCCCCATTTTACAAATGAAGAAACTGCGCTTAATGAGGGTGAATAACTCAACCAAGGTTACTCAGATAGTTACTGGCAGAGCTGGGCTTTGACATTAGGCAGTCTGATTTCAGGGCCTGTGTTCCTTTACGGAATCTCCAAATGCATTGGAATAATGCATCTCCTGGGAGAGAGGATGACATGCAGGGAGTGATGAAGTGTGCAGTTAGGGGCAGCCGAGTTGGAAAGATGCTTTTTTTTGAACCTCATCTGAGAGGTGGAGAAAATGGCGAATGCCAACGTGACTAGTGATTTTGTTGCAAATGGGGTTAGTTTCGCCCCCAAAATTCATCTCCTATTATGATGCCCATATATTGTCCAATATTTCTTCCTAATAGTGACAGTGATGCGATTAAGGGAGCCCATTTCACAAAGGCCTGCCTGGGTCTGTGCTTAACGACTGCAAGAATGTATGAGCTGAACATTTCCACATTTCTTCAAAAACCACCTCGTCTGGGAATGTCGCCACTCCGTAAATCGGCTAGGGAGGTGAGTGTGTTTTCCTTATTTGAAGAATTTCAATTAAAAAAAAAAAAAGGAAAAAAAATCCCTGCTTGTGTGGACTGGGGTACCTTGGCTGATGGTTCCTGTTGTGAAGTCTGGAAGCGAATGCTAAGAGCATCATCTGAGAGCCTTGGAATTTCCCACAATTCCTTCAAGGATGCTCATTCTGCTCACAGAGCCCAGTTTAGCTCTCATAAATAACATTTCCTTTTAGTCGCCTCCTTCTTCCCTTGCTTGGGCCCCATTAATTCCAAGCCTGGCTGACCCAGAGCCAAGCTCTTGTTCTCTCTCCTGCTGCAGTCACATTTTCGGAGGGAGATGCTGGCCCCTCTCCCTCTATCCATCCCACCCCAAAACACCCATCTCTTCCCTGTGGCTCAGGTACAGGGAGAGAAAGGGGGTTGGTTAAAACTTAATTATACTAAGAACTGACTGTCAGATAGTATCCAGCCTTAACCCTCTAGGGATATTTTCTTGTTAATCCAAGCAAATTTCTAGATGTTAGATTTTCAGGCAGTGAGTGGGAGATGCTTCTGGGCCAGAGACCTTCCCATAAGTGACAACATGTGGTTTATCCCATTAAGTGTGTGACAGCACCCAGATGTGTCTAAGCCTAGCACAGATTCGCCCGTTCCAAGTCTGACAATCCCACTGGGGGGCAGGTCACAGGATCCATTTCTCCTGCTTGGGGTGTTCTTCCTGCCTGGGTCGGGGAGCGATGTGATTTTCTTTGAGCAGCTGCTGGCTGGCCAGGGTTAGGAGAGGGACTTGTAGCTGTACAGCCATCAGGAACGTTCCAAAGCACGAGAAAAGACAGAGAAGGGCTGTTTCTCTCATTTACGTTATTCACATGCTGAGATCTCTTCCTTCCCTCCATATTTCTTCTCCTAGGAGGGGGAGATTGAGCTGGAATCAGGCTCAGGAAAGAGCCACCTGGTCCCAATCATCTTTCTCTGCCAAACCTTCCCACTTGGGCACCTTCTTCTCCAAGCTCCCTACTAGTTCTCTCCCCAACTTCCACTTCTCAGATCCCTTTCCCATTGGTGACTGACAATGCGTTTGAGGGTGGGAAAACAGCTGAGTGCTCCTCCCAGGCCTCCTCCCATCGCAGCTGAGCACCAGGCAGGGTCAGGAGGTTGCCACTAGGTTGTGAATTCCATTCAAGCAGGTATTATGTCAGCTCTGCTGACTCACGGAGCTCCAGAACCCAGGGCGATGCTGGAGTCTTGAGGGCATTCACCCAGTTGTTGTTGAATGAATGGCTGACCTCCTCACTCACCGAATGAAAGAATGAATGAATGAGTGACTGCATCCCCTCGTCCTCCCGTAGTTCCGCCTCACTCTGAGGCTCGCTTTTCTTCTCTGATAGCCGTAGCCCTGTGTTCTCTCCCTGACCCCGCCTTCCTTCCATTGTCTCCCTTTTTTGCTGTTTCTGTTCAATCTTCTGGTTTTCTCTGTGATGGTATTTTACTATCATTTCTCCCTTGTTGCATCATTTGGCATCTAACATTCTAGTTTTCATTGTCATGCTTCCCAGGAAGAGCCAGACTCCTGGATCACCCACAGGGGAAGCGGGGCTCCTATGCCTTCGGTGGCTGTAGCTATGTTTTGTTCGTCAACAGCCTCTGCCCAGGCTCTGCTTTGAGAGAAGCCAATAGCTCCAAACTTAATTCCCTGAACACCTCGCCCTGCAGGTGGGTTCGTCCTTTGCATGTGAATTTTGTCTGAATTAATTCTTGGGCTTTAGAAAATTCCCAAATCCTAGGGGCTCTTCCCTTCACTGAGTTTCCTTGCATCATCTGGTCTGCTGCAGAATTTCTGACTCTTTGCTGACCCTCCAAACATCCTGACCAACTTCACTGTGTCAGACCAAATTGGGTAGAGCAGATGTGTAGGGCCAAACACCACCTCTCTCACCCTTGGAGATTGAGCATCCTCACCTCCACTGTGGAGGCCTCTGGATTCCAAAAAGAAATTGAAACTAATGATTTCAAATGATGCCTCTTGCCTTGTCACTTGATGTCCCATGCATTGGGAACATCTGACTTCATTTTTGATTTGGGGCTGATCTTTTGGGCTTATAGGGGGACACTGGGAGCTGT